TTAACTCAAACAATCCTAGTCCTACTGGGATTCTGAATTCTCCTCCTTTTGAGGCTTTATCCCTTGCTGGTCGAGAATCCTGGTCGCATCAGGATTTCCTCGACCTTTCCTCATTTATCTGGACTACTTAAGATAGGATCTGGCCGACCCTGCCAGCTGGTCCGAGTCTCATTATTTGGCCCATAGCATGTGTTATTACCTTGGGCCGAGCACATCCTGCTGCTCGGCCCAATCATAATATTTTGGGCCCAAACACATTGTAACAATAGAAAAATGATCGGAATTTGTCATACTGGGTAGGGACTTCTCTTTCAATTTAAATTGGTTGAAAAATTAGATTATGTAAACTTAATAAGTGTATTTGCATCTAAAAATGCGAGACGGGTAATATACTAATATTTGAGTAATGTTTGTATATATTTTTTCTTTTGATATTAATTTTTAATGATATTTGATGTAGAAATAGACTTTTCATGTATTTAGTGAATTTTTTTTACACATGTCAATGTACAAAGGGTCGAGAGTCAGAGAACTCTAGGGCCCCATTTCGAAGGCTCGCCTAGGGATCCCAAATTCTCAAGGCCGGCCTTTGTGTTGAGTTTATCACAAAAGACATCTGTATTATTAGGAGTAGGACCATACACTTATATATCATGTATTTTATTTTATTTTTCAATTCTCCGATGTGAAACTTAAAACACACGAAGCAAAAAAGTTGTCAAAAATTATTATGTGATACTAAAATACCGTTTCGTAGCATTACCGATCCAACTGAGTTATAACATGGTTCAGTTAGAGGGCAACAGCTAATGGGATCATGGCATTGGTGCTTTATCCTAATTTATGTGTTACATTCTTAGGTATTTCTGAATTTCTTTGGCACTATCGTGACGACTAGTCACAACCCATGATGGGTTTGTAGATATTGGAATCTTGTTCCAAATTATGCTTTAATTTGCTATCAACGCTAATCTATCAAATGGGAATAATAAAAAGGATAAAAAGTAACGAGATCATGGTCTTTTGCACTAACCGCCATCAATTCTATATTGTTATCAAAGAAAAAGTTTAATAGCATCTTTTAAAATTTCACATGAATAATACCAATAAGAAAATGTTCATATCAACAAAAACATTAATTCTATCTTAATTGTTATCAAAGAGAATGTTTACTGTTTACCAACTGAAATGCAAATTCTTATATGGCATAACGTGGTTATCAGCAAAAGTGACAGCAACCTCAAATTCATTTTTAATTGAATATAAATAAAAAAAATTATCATTTTTTTATTGTTTTTTGTTTTAAAAATAGTTATCCAAATTACATATTAATAGAATCCTCTTTGTCAATCAAAAGAAGGTGAAAATATTATTTAGTCTTCTATTACAACATAAAAGTTAAGGGCAGTAACATAACTTTATAAGACAAAAATTTACAGTTTTTGTTTAAGTCTCATCTACAGGTGACCTTAACATCTCTAATTTAAAAAAATAAAAAACAAATAAAACCAAATAAAAAATAAGTATCTCTCCTGTGACAACCGGTCCCTAATTTTCCATGTAATTTCTCCCCGAGTGTGTAAATTAACTTTTATGCCCTTGTTGGCAAAGTGATGTGGACATGGTTATTTAGTTTAAAATTATTTTTCTCACTATTGTAATTAAATAGTATTCGTTGTTGAGATCGCGTGAGTGCAAATTAGACCTGAATCGGATCTGTAACGAAAAAGTTACGCACAATTAAAGTACATTACCAACAGGTAGAGTGGTACACATGTGTGTTAATTTTCAATACTGGAAAACTACTATTTTTGATAGGGTATGTAAGATTTCATGGATTTCCATTGTACAACCCTATCTCTTTTTCCTCATTAAAAATATGTCCCGAGCTCCCCATTTCACTCACCCACCAATCAATTCTCATCCTCAAATCTCTCACCCAATTAGACAACATCCATCTCTCTTTTCTTTTCATCCAATAAAAAAAAGCTCTCATTCTCTCTCTCATCTTCTTCTCCTTCTCTCTTTATTCCATAACTCTCTCCTCTTTGCAACAACAAGGACCTTCATCAACATTCGCAGATCGGACCCAAAAACACTACCATTGTACTCCTCTTGAACCACGAACCCAGTCGTACCAGCCGATGGTGAAATCACCAAGTTTTGAACCTTCAACTCGGAAGGTTCGACTCGGTAAGTTTTCCTCCGATGGGTTTCAGGCTGAGTTACAAGATTTTAGGACGTGGGGAAGCGTTTACACAACTCCCTAAGGTCCCTAGACTAAGTTTGGAGTCGAGTTGACGTCGAAACAAGTGAGTTTGAGGAGTCGAGTTTTAGGCCGAGGCTTTCGAGGCATTTTCAGGCCATTTCCCGTCCATTTTTGGACTTTTGCAAGGTACAATCTTGTTCCACTCTTCATAAACTTCATTTCCATATAAACCACATCGAAAATAGTTGAGAAATGAAGAAGATATGCGATTTTGAAATTTTTCCTAGAAATCGACGAACTAGACGATGGCGAACGACGGGGCTCATCGGAGAAGATGAAGAATATTCTGTCAAAGTTGACAGAATATTCTAACAGTATTAGGTAACTGCGTTACTATTTAACGAAATATTCTATCAATTCTGACGGAATATTCCTAACGTCCGTCAATCTTTGTCAATCAATGGTCTGCGCGTGTAGCCGTGGGCTAGCCAGCCCATGAGGGCGCATCCAACCACCGACCAGTGAGTGCTTGACACGTACGGGTCCATGACTTCGTGTAGATCATTTTCGTATATTCAAATCTTCCGTTTGAGCAAAGTATTGGAGATTTACGTAGCCTTTTTGAATATATCCTATTTAATTTATTAGTTTAGTTATTTCACATATAGGTGAAAATTATCCCGATGACGTATGAGGTCAAGCGAAACTAGGAGGCTACAATCCGACCACGTACCAGTGAGTGGGCATTTTGTTTTCGTATATATATAAACCTTATAGTTTCCACAAATGCTTTTGAATTGATTTATGCATATCATGCCACTATTGTTTTTAGATTGATATTAAACATGTTATAAGAAATGTTATATTGCTGTGAAATGCTGAAATATTTCTACGGGATGCACATGTACGTTATTATGTTGGTTAGTATCAGTGAATGGTTATGGCATGTTTATATTTATGTAGTATGCTCATCATTGCTGCACCCCGGTGTTAGTGCTCACCCAAGGTCAGGGCTAGTCTTTCACGTGTATGTTCACCTCTTTGCTGCACGCTCGCCTTGGATCCAAGTTGGTGCCAGTCCTGTCATACAGGTTGCATTAGGCAACTCTGGCTCGTAGGTGACTGCGATTATCGCTAGTCTTCACGTGATTGTAGCGCTAGAGTGTACTTATATATTACGCCATAGTCCTGTTCATGTCAGAAACTATCTGCATGGACTCGGGTGTTAGCGTAGATTGATGAGCAACCTGTTTTCATTATGCTATTGTTGAGATATTGTAGTTTGGCGTATTTCTGGCATCATTGTTATTTACAGTTGTTTTTATACTTATACGTAGTATGATTTTATGTAAACTATACATGTTTTACAGCGAGGAGTTAGTATGTTCAGAAAATAAAATTGTTTTATAAACCTTTGTTTTTGTGCCCACTCACGCTTCTGTTTTTCGCCCCTACAGGTCCTAGATAGTAGAATTACTCTATGGCATACGAGGATTAGCTGGCAATTCTGACATATCTCTGTTTAAGTGTAGGAACTCTTCCGTTGTGTGCTAAGTACTTAATTAGTTCCGATTGCACTCTTTTGTTATCTATGCTCTGAATATTTGTATTATATGGGTTCTACCCACTACTGCGCACTCATTTTATTAGTTAAATAAGTTCTAGTTTCAGTTTTAATTTATTCACAGTTTTACATCACTCACACTTTTGGTTACTTCACCTTCGGGTGACGGCCAACATGCCTCGACTCTAGTCGGGGTGTGTCATCTCCTCTCTCCTCACTCCCACGTTCTCTCTCACTCTCTTCATCTCTCCTTCAATTTTATAAACAAAATACAAAATTTGACACACAATTTGTGTGTGGGCATATACCAGTTACAATTATGAAAAATAAATAATGTAAATTTAAAATATCGGGTGGAACAAAACTTTATAAGAATCAAAATGCCACTTCAAACTTAAATTATGTTTAAAATTTGATCTAAAGTATGGGAAAAAAATTTCGCATTTATCTTTCTGCATTCTTTAGTTTGATTAGGTCAACAATGTTTCATTAAAAGGGTTTGAAATTCAATTCCTCAAGAGAACCATGTTATTTGGAATCTTGAATTCAAACATTTTAACAGATCATGTTGGCTAGGGTTTACTTTGATTTAGGAATACGAAAAAGATAATATCTTGCTTGGACTCAAAGCCATCCAAGTTCCACTTTCTTTTTACAAGTTCATGCAATCAACCTACCACTAAAGGGAAGAAGAATGATGTTCTGCTATACTTTTTTGTTTATATTTCGTGAAAGTTATACCATGTCAAAATCACATTTGGGTCGCAATTAAAGACACTTCTCGTTCACCTTTATATTAATGCGTAAATCATAAAATTACACGATTGTGTAGACGTCAAATTTAAAAAATGTGATCCAAATATACCCATAATAACTTTTCGTACCAATTTTTTTTTCTTACTTTTACCTCATAATTAAACTAAAAGACTAAATTTTCTCTTTCTTTTCCATTTTATTTCCCCAATGTTTTAGATAGCTAGGAGCTAGTCTAGAGGGAAATAAGAATCTAGCACCTAGGGGCCTAGGTGAAACCTAAACAAATTATTTAATTTTATTATATAACAATACAAAGATATAAAAAAGTGACTACGCTTAATTGAATACATAACATAGAATATGGATTCAGAGTTATTTTACAAGAAAACTTAATGTTGTTTCACAAGAAACTATCTTCAAACCCTTAACCTAAAAAAATAAAAAAAATAAAAATATTGAACCGCCAAGGGCCGCCTAAAGCCTCCTAAACTGCGTAGGCCTAGAGGCTTCACCCTAATTGGATCGCCTGGTCTCTGCCTAACGCCTTGGCGGCTGTCTAGACTGTCAAAATCCTACGTGGCAGCCAGGTAGTGGAGAACGCAGTAAACGACTTCCTATTACAACAACGTTAACGTTGCCAGCTGTCACCAAACTATTTATCTATGAAAGTAAGCCTGCGAACTTGAATCAGCGGGCGCAAAGCATATTCGAAAGCCAAAATAATCGGTACATCAGATATTCCGCGACAGCAATAATTGTCTGCATCCCGTTGTATTGTAACACGACCCACATCATAGATATTCGACTTATTGACGTTTACCTATCAACGGCCTTTTTCAGTAGCGAATAGAAAACCGACACTTGTCTGTGCTAGAATAGGACTGACCGCACTGGAGTCGCAACTGCCGTCTTAAGCGACGACGACGCAAAACCCTAATCTTTCTTAAAACGCACCGTTGCCGCGAAGCGATCCAAACGACGTCGCCTCAGACATTCTTCTCCACCTTCCTGCGTTCAAATTAGGCACAGAGAGCAGACGAGAGTAAGAAGAGGCTCCACAGCAGAAGCACAGAACTGCGTCGGGGTTCCTGCAATTTCTAGTCTTTAGGGTTTCACAGCGTTCAATTTCTCTCAGGCTTTGGTAGTTGGGGGTGAGGTTTCTTCGTGGCGAAGTTTGGGGATTCTAGGGCAACCCAGAAATGCAGACGGAGGCGAGAGTTGGGGTGGTGGTGGAAGGAGGGCAGAGAGCTCTGAATACCGGCCATGGAGGCGTGGCTGTTGAAGGTGGCGTTAGGACGCTCTCGCAGTCGCTGCCGCAGAAACAGCCGAAGCCGCTGCACCAACAGTCTCAGATCGGTGCGGTGTCACAGCTTCTCGCCGGAGGTGTCGCCGGCTCTCTCAGTAAGACTTGCACGGCACCTCTCGCTCGCCTCACTATTCTCTTTCAGGTGGGTCTTTTTCCTTTCTTTTATTCTTCTTTAATGTTTGGTTTTGCAAGCTGATTGGTGAGTTTTTGTTTAATTTATAGACTTGTGATATATTATTTTGGTCGAATTAAAATCGGGAGTTTTCGAGTTACTGATCAAGGGAAGATTGGGTTTTTTTTTTTTTAATGCTTTAGTGAACAATGGATCATGCTTGGTTTTAGTTTTAATGAAAATTTGGGTAAAAATTTGAACTTTGAAATGTCGGAGTTTTCGGGTTACTGAACGAGTACAGATTGGGTTTTGTTATGATTACTGAACGATGGAGCTGCTTTGTTGATACCATCTATCATTTTAGGTGCAAGGTATGCACTCGGATGTTGCAACGATGCGAAAAGCTAGCATATGGCGTGAGGCCTCCAGAATTGCTAGTGAAGAAGGTTTTAGAGCTTTCTGGAAAGGAAATTTGGTGACAATTGCTCATCGTCTTCCTTATTCTTCGGTCAATTTCTATTCATACGAGCAATATAAAAAGGTTGGTAAAAACGCTTGGTTCATTTTACCTTCATACAGTTCAATTGTTCAAGTAAGTTATTTTGTCATTGCTTGATGTTTAATTCATTGGGTTTTATCTGGTACAGTTGTTACAAAAAGTTCCAGGACTGGAAAATCATAGGGACAACTTGAGTACAGACCTTTGCGTGCATTTTGTGGGTGGAGGATCGGCGGGAATAACAGCTGCATCAGTTACATATCCTTTGGATCTTGTAAGGACGCGCCTTGCAGCTCAGGTAAGACCATATAGGCATGTTTGGAAAGAAACTGCTTTCTTTTACTAGATTTTATTTACTGATTTGTTAAGTTGTTGAACCATTGATTGACATTTTTGGGAATGCTTGCCGTGTTTTGTTATTGGTAATTGGCATATGCTTTTCTTTAACACTTCCCCAGAAGTTACAGTATAGTTGTATATTTAAATCAATACCTACAGGGGAATATGTTCAACTGTACTCTGAACCATTTCATCCTTTTTGGATGACTCTATGTTAGTCTATGATTGAATTTAAGCACTCTGCCTTTTCATGTGCATTTTGCTCCATATTCATTAGTTGGAAATTTGCAGACAAATGTGATGTACTACAAAGGAATTTGGCATACGCTGCGAACTATTACCCGGGATGAGGGTATTTTGGGTCTCTATAAGGGACTCGGAGCAACCCTCTTGGTATGCTTATATTATCTTCTTTTAAGATTTATGCCTATGATCCTCTTTTGGTGTTTATTCTGACTTCTGTATTGTCTGTAATGCAGGGTGTTGGGCCCAATATAGCTATCAGTTTTTCAGTGTATGAGACCTTGAGAGCTTCTTGGCAGTCACATAGGTGGGTTTCTTTATCAATCGAGTCTGTAGTTTTTTGGTCTTATATTACAACTACCTTTGCATGCATACTTTCTTTAGGCCTAACACTATAATGCTAATTTGCTAATTTCGTTATCTTCACTTCAGGCCCGAGGATTCTACTATGTTGGTTAGTCTTGCTTGTGGGAGCCTTTCAGGAATTGCATCATCAACAGGTGAGTGATCTTACACTTTCTATTTTCTTTTGAAAAGTGATTCTTTATAATTTTTTGTGTCAGATAGTCTGGGTGGTTGTTCTTGATGGAAGTCATAGTTTGTAATCAATACACATTTTCCTTTCACTATTTACTACTTCGATAATGTTTTCTGTTACATATTTTATTATGTAATTTTGGTGAAATATCCCAAACCTAATCTGAATCATTGAAATCTAATTAGAACAGACTGTTACAGTTAACAATGTGTTTGAAATAATTTGGTTTGTTTAATTAGAATGTCAATAATACATAAAAGTTAATGTACATAGATGTTTTCTATGCTTTTGATGCAGAGAAAACAGGTTGTGGTGCAGGCTCTGCACCAAGTCTCTAACCAGACTGATCTCTAGAGCCAGAAACCTGACCGGAGTGGTTTTGTTAATTTGGTATCTGGAGAATCTTACTATCTTAGTAAGGAAGCTGACAAGAAATCTTCTGTGCTCCATCATTCATCTAACTTAATTTTTTTTCTTATGATAAAAATCTTGTTTCGATTAACATCATCTTTCCCACATTTCTTCGGTGACTTGTCTCCCAAAGGTTTGCAGTCGGTTCTATTATAGGGTGGAACTGCTCTCAGGTGAACCTATATCTTCAGTTATCAAATGTGAGAGGTGTCCTCTTTGAGGTATGCTTCTCACTTAGGCTTCCTCTTTCCAATGGCTTCATAGGTATTGTGGTCCTTCATGCCCTCACCAGTGCATGAGGGGATGTCCTTGGGGTGTTGCCTTCACTTGGATTATAATCTTCAAATATACTTTCCTTTATTTAAGGCTGACTGTCTTCCATTATGTCATAAAATGCGAGTGTTGGCTTTCAAAATCATTTGCTGACTGACCTGTAGAATATTTGAACACATCATTATCACGCCCGAAAAAACTAAAATTCATTAAACCTGCACTGGATTGTCATGCTGCATAGTAGTGGTAGTCGAACAGCCAATATTACTTAATCTGTCCGGGAGTGATTGCATAGTGCTAGTAGTCTGCTCATATGTTTTAGGTTTATTTTCCTTGCTTTGATCTCAGTTGTGCCTTTTTTCTTGTCTTGACTTGTCATGTGTTACTGTCGATGCATTGTTATAGTTGATTTATTAACTGTTCGCTATCTGATTTCATGACCTTGGAAAATCTAGTCTTGAAACAGTATTATAGTATGATGGTATGCAACAATGGTGTCCCTGCTCTTTTCATTTTATTCTCATTGTATTATGCAGCAACCTTTCCATTGGATCTTGTGAGGCGGCGGAAGCAGCTGGAAGGCGCTGGTGGCCGAGCCCGGGTCTACACAACGGGCCTTTTTGGCACATTTAAGCACATCTTCAAAACAGAAGGGTTGCGTGGCTTCTATAGGGGTATCCTACCAGAATACTACAAGGTGGTACCTGGTGTCGGTATCTGTTTCATGACGTACGAGACGTTGAAGGTGCTTTTAGCGGACGTCAGTGCTGCTATATAGTTGACTACATACTCATCTTTCCGTAAGCGATACTGTATGAGGGGCGTGAACGACGCTATTATAACAAAATCTCATGGTGGTTAGTTTTGCGATGCTGCCGCGAGGAACAGATTTTTCCATGTATAGATTGACGATCCTATATCTCTCACATTTAGAATTTGTATGCGAAGCAACACTCTTGCAGTTACCAGAAATATTCAATCCTATCCCAAAAATCTTCAATTTATGGGACGTTTCCTGCAGCTGTAATTCATTCATCACCTATTCACACTTCTAACGTGAGTTTCTCAGCGTAACTGTCACGGTTATATCATCATTCATCTATATTATTAGACTCAAATCACTAACATTACTTGGTAGTGTGACCGTCACCTTGAAAAACTAATCCGTCTCCAGAAATATGCTCGTCTTTCACAAGGATTTTTCTATACATTGGGGAATCCCTCATGGGCCCACCAACTTGCTCTCATACGAAGAAATCTGTCACAAAACCTCTCAGAAAACTCCATAACGCAAGCTCCTTTAAAATTTATAGAACAAAAGAATCACTCATCTCAAAGAAAAGAAATACATTAATATTTATTTATTATTTATTAATATTTGATTGGAAGAGTGACAATTTTAGCTTGTATGCTTCTGGGACGGGCTCAATCCGTTTTTAGGGTTGAGCAAACTAATATATCTTCAGACTTCAATGGCCGTATAAAGGCAAAGACGCCAGTGAAATAGCAATATTTTTCATCGTTACAATGGGAAGTTTCCGGTGAGGCGAATGTGATTCAATGTATTACGCAAACCATACTTGTTGGCAGCTGCATTGGCTGTTCGAAACCCTCCTCCGTATGCAGGTGAAGAATCGTTGGCGATTTGGTGCATGAAAAACTCCCCTAGTTTGTGCTCAACTTTCGATTTTCCACCTTTTTTCGATGAAAACGTGGAAGAGGAAGATGAAGCTGAGGATGTAGATGAAGACGGCATGTTTTTGGATTCCGGCATTACTTCTGACTCAAGCCACATGTATGAAAGCACCTGGCAGATGCCTTCCTCTACCTCGGGATTAAGGTTCCGGTACCCTGCATTGTCAAATTAAACAAGAAATTGAGTCCAATAAAAAAAACAGGCGAGGTTCAGGGCTTAGGGTTTCGGGTTTAGTTTTGTGTGAGGAGAGCTTTGGAAATACATGCTACCTTTGAGGCGTAACCAACCGTGCATCAATTCATGGGCAAGAATGGCACCTGTTAGTAACCTGCATCCGACGTGAATATTGAAAACGATCAGATGAACTTTGAGTAGTGCTAGTCTTCTACAAGTAATTTTTTTAGTTGAAAGAAGCAACTAGCATTACCTTGGGAGGCCATAGAGAACAAGAATGGCAGTAACTTCGCATTTTCGAGTCAATTTCTGAGGTTGTGTTCTCATCCCGGTAAATTGATTCCCCCCGATTCTCGGCCTTTTGAGGATCTGATTAGAAAACTCGTTGAGGTCAGCTTCACGAATCATTTCAATTTTAAGAAAGAACGAAAAGAGAATTAGTAGAACCGTCTAAATTCGTACACTGGTGACGGTCTGCTCTTCCGAAAGGCATAAACCTCTAGTCTCGGGCATGTGGTGGAGGCCCTGCAAAGAACCGGTTATGAATTAGAAGAATTCCTCAAACCGAAAAAACGCAAACAACAGAGCATGGATTTCGACATTACACTCTTTTCGCCCACAATAGCTTCGTTAAGTGCTTGTCTTTCGACAAGAAGCATGGGTATTTGCTGATCCAGTTGCATGTTCATCCCTTCATAATAGTCTCGTATGGTGTGATACAGCGTCTGGCAGTCATCGGTGTCCATGATAGCGGATTCCATGCACTCAAAGCATATACTCCGCCCGTCACCCAGTGAAAAGTACCTTGCATCCCAAGACTTCAAATGGAAGAAAAAGAAGAAAACAGAAATTTTTGACTTAGCATTCGTGATGCTGCAATTTGAAGAAGTACTTGGAGGAGATATTAGTTTTCAAGGACAAAATTTTCTTGTTAGTGTAGATTAGTACCTCTAAGCGTTCGCAACTGCAGCAACGAGATGTGTTATCATGTTCATGTGCTGGACAGTACTTCTGTGACCAAAACGGATGGCATCTGTACTCGATCAAACCAGCTCGATTTGTTGGAATCTGAAAATTTTCAAAGCGAAGAATTGTTTATGTCGAAGTAGGTTACAATAACATTTCTATTTATTTAGAAAATAGAGTTTTCTTACAAATTGATGGCAAACTTCACACTTGGGATGAGCCAGATCTTTAAAGCAGGACTTGTGATATGGATCCCTCCCTGACAAAGAAAACTTCGATCAAGAGAAAACATTGGTAAGAACTAGACCATAGCGAAAAAAAGAACACAGTTGTTCGAGTCCAAGGAAGAGAAGCTACCTCATTCTCAACAATTGGGTGGCCACAAGAACGGCAACAGAAGCACTGGGGATGAAAAAAAGTCCCCATGCAACCCAGGTAGTTGCCATAGCGAATGTCGCGTTTACAACCGCCACATATTCTGCTAATCAGACACAAAAACCACAGGATTAGTAGCAGCTACTTTCAAGCTTCATTAACACAGAAATTTGGTATGCAAACAAACATTGAACAAGTTGAAGTTCCTAAGCTACGTGTAACCCGAAAAAAATGTTACCTTTGTTGTGCACAGGGATAATACTGTGGATGAGCTGGGGCATATGGAGGATACAATGGATTCAGACCTTCCTGAAGTGACCTAGCAAGCTCTTCATCTTTTTCTGTCTGCCATCTGTGTCCTGGAAATTGAAAATTTTAAATCCTCAATAACGACGTTGTGAAAACACATGAGCGCGCACACACACAGAGGGCTGTACTCAGAGTTTGGATCTTGAAGAATGGAAACCTACCACTCGGTCTTTTCAAATCTTCAGCCAGAGACACTGCAATTGCATGGTCTAACTCCTCTTTCTCCTTCTGTGCTCTAGAGTTGTCATCCTGATCACGAAAAGACAACGAAACTAATTTAGAAATGCACCAATAGTTCCAGTAGTTTACTCGGATTCTCACTTTCGTCGTCGTAGTTTTCCTCGTTGCACTTTCGTTCTTATAGTTTCAAACGTTAGCACCATTTAGTCCAATTCATCAACTAATCCTTCCAACTTCGATGATTTTTTGAATGAGAGTATGTGCACAAAAAATTGATGGAAAAATCAACTCAGTTGACGGATTCGACCAAAGTGAAAAACATAACGTAAATGTTACAAAAATGACCTACATGGATGAAGGTGAAAATTCGAGTAAAGATATAAGCACTCAAAATCAACTGGGAGTTTTTGAAACCCCATGTCTTGCAATCTCAAGAAAAGTAAATATTCTTAGCATCCACCCATTTCAGATTGAATCCCTTGTACTGCAAGCAAAGGGCATATTTTGCAGCCGAAAATCGAAAACAAAAACATGCCATAAATTTTGTAATCCAAACAAGAACAATACTAACATATGAACAATCCGAATTTAAGAAAACGTGATCAGAAAAATAGGAGAGGGATTGGAGTTCAAACCAAGGATCGAGGTGGCGCCTGCCAAAGCATGTTTTCGTCACCAATAAGCTGCGGATTCCGGCTACTACCAGCGGCGGCTTCTCGACGGCTAAGCCCACTCCTGAAAAGTTTACTGAGCCATTTCATAAAGCGCGACTTCCTCTCGGTGTTCGAAGAAACAAAATCCCCTGCTTACCACAAATATTTCAACAAGACCTCCCAACTATAAAAACAAAGTCCTCTGTTCCAACAATACAAGAAAACAGATCCCCAGATAATAAACGATTGAAAAAATTAAAGTTGAATATATATATATACATATACGTATATATATATGTTACCATAAATACAAGGGTGAGAAAGCTGGTTGACACCTGAAGGAGCCATTGAATACTGAGCTTCTTATGTATAGGAAGAGACTAGGGACGGTTACAGAGAGAGAGAAAGACAGAGAGGGAGAGAGAGAAATTACGTGACAGACGGCTTGAAAGAAAAGATGGAGGAGAACAAGGCACCAGGCATCGTCAAAATTAAAAGGCCGAGAGAGAAAGAGAGAAAGAAAGCAAGAGAATCTCCGGGAGAGAAAGAAAGTGATTTTAGAATGTAGACAGAGAGACGCAGAGAAAGGCTCAGATTCTTGGCTTCCAAAGCAATGAAATTCAATTCATTTCTCTCAAAACTCCAACTAAAAGAAAACTCAACTTCATATATTTGTATATGCACATGCAAATATACGTATTAGTCCTTCTACACGAAGGTTTAACTGTAGTTCTGTTTATCGATGACATGTTAACAATTGAAAGGTCAGAGTATCAACAATATCGGCACATTCTCCCTTCAACTTCCGGTCTGAAATAAGTTCTCTCTTTTCTTTAGCAGCTATGGCAAGAAGTTCTTTACTATAGTTGTCTCACCCCAACGTGATTCAAGTTGATTTTCTCTAAAGGCGTATTACATGTACCTATAAACACTACAGTTTTAGTGTATGACATATTAATAGGGAAGTGTTATTGGCACTCTAAAAATCTCATTCTATACTCCTCACAAGTGTATTTTTCTTTCCAAATATAGAAAGTTTGGAGTGTAGAATGAGATTTTTTGAGTGCTAATAACAATTCCCTATTAATATTGTCTTTTGGTTTCATAAAAAGTTTAGGGGAAGAGTGATTACTCTCGTCACCAACGTCTGGACATTACCCATAACCTCAATGCTATATTGTCTATTATTAATATTATAACACGTAAATTCATATTATCACATAAACTGTAACGGACCGTCATACTCAAATATCGTCTTTTATTGTGGCCGAGTGGGTTGAGGTTGTGTTTGGAGAACAGGAAAATGCTAGCATTATATCCCATGACCACTCAAGTTCAAAAATATACATGTGAAGGTTTTCTAAGGGTTTTCCGAATGTTTAGTTCGAGTCCTTTTTGAGCCTACTAAATGTTTGATAAACGCATGCTAAGCATATATTGATAGGTTGTGTTGATAACACTCGACAAATTTCTTCTATATTATTCATCAGATTGTTTTGGCATATGCTGATATATGTTGACATGTGCACAACAAGGCCATGAGGTGATTTTTTTTTTTTTTTTTTTTTGCGTACTTCGCTCTCTGTTCTTATCTAAAAAACTTGTATTAACACTGATACTCCAAAATTCAAAGCTGCCTTTAAAATCTATTAAGATTTAACAGTCTTCCTAATGGTGGTCCATTAACATAGCAGGTTTTTATTCTTCCCTTTTCCCTCTTTTTCCCCCACTTTTTTCCCAGTTGGTTTGTGAAATACAAATATATTAATTTATCTTTCCTTCCTATGGAACTGGATACTTATTTATATATTAATTCTCTTTTCTTTTCATTAGGTTTTCACATGGCAACAATATTCCCTCCTAAAAAATACCCCTTCTTATTCAATATTAAATCACAAATCCAACGCACCCTGTTGTTTTGAGTGTTAGCTATTGGATGTTTGTGAGATTTTAGATTTGTTTGTCAAACTCTATTGGTAATCTTCATTTTAATTATTAGTGGAATTTCTTTGGCGTCTTTAAACTGGACGTAGGTCTACACCAAATCAGTATAAATCTTAATGTCACTTTGATTTGTTTGTTTTGTCATATTTTTCTGTATTAGTTTATTAGTTTCATATTTAACGTTGTTGCACAACAATTTATATAATCCCATCAAATATTGCAAAATATATATATACACACACTCACACACATACATATATATTATAATTTTGATACTGCCAAAAGCAAAGTATTGTGATCTCATAAATCTCTGGAGCGGCCCAGACGTAGCCACCAAAACTGAGGCGGGTGAGCTATTTAGGGTGTAACGGAGTTTCAGAGAGTAATTTATATGCAACGGATTTATTGTTATATGGTGTTTTGATTCAATAATGTTATATAATGTGGATAAAATCTTGATATTATACATATTACTGAACTAATGTGAGTCATTCTCCTAATTTTGTACATGTTGTGAATAGTTCAAAACTTTGTGTATAGAGGATAGCCAAAACCCACCTTTACACCTAATATGTTGGTACCTTTGGAAGTTTAATTAGCATTTCTAAAATGCAAGAGATTCTTGTATGTAGAAAATCTGTATTCGTGCCTGTTTTGATAAGACACAGAGTGGCTGATACTTTTATGTATTTATCTGCAACAGGCAACCAAAGGCAAAGTCGGTTTTTGCATGGCAACTGTCCGACAATATTCCTATACCACACAATTATACGATATGATGACTCATTTCAGGATTAAAGGGGCCTTTTGCTAGCCGTCCATATGCTTTTTTCCACTTGTTTATTGATCTTGGCCAAAGCCTAAAGGGCAGGATTGGACCTACCTACAAGAAAAGGTGCTTATAGATCATGTAGATACATGAGTGATCTTACACCGTCACGTAATATTAATAATTTATGTGTATAATACATGCGAGTGTATGATTTATTAACATTTTATGGTCTAGAATAATAAATAAATAAAATGTGTTATAACATAAATAGATCAGTTAAATCACATGACGGTTTAACCATCATGCCAGGAATTGATCTACTTAAGAATATAATCTATAGCGAATAGGTTGTGACTTGAACAATATTCACAGAAGTTTTGGGAGCCTATAGTTAGGAACACTTTACTTTGAGAAATCTGAATTGCTATGGCAGTTTATGCATTTGAATTTTATTCTCAGCTTACAAATATTTAATCATTTCTTTTGTGTGTTAAGGACAAGTTGTGAGAAAGAAGCAGTTGATGTTGGAGGCTAGGATTCTGGTAAAGGGCAACATATTTAGCTTAGGGTTTAGGGTTGCAGCAGATACCATGCATGCATGCACATGGAAAATTGAAAACCCTGCCGTTGCAAATGCCTTTCTTTAAAGTAAAATTATTTAGACTTTGATACTGTCGTGAAAAGAGGAAGCGTTCAAAATTCAGAGCACATCATGAAACAAATCACTCCATTTTTGCTCGTGGCTTTTTCTGCGCACTGGGTTTTTTTCTTGGAGTTGGGGATTGTACGGAGTGTGGACTATTCCTCCTAGTTATGTGGTGCAGTTATTGGTTGAGGCCTAGCCTTAGGGTGATCCCTTAATAGATTGTTTTGCTAGCTGGGTTCACCCTTCCAAATTCAAATGCATAGAAGTTCATATCTGAAAACATGTTTAGCAAGAGATTTTCAGTGTTACCGGTGTATTATCATTTTTATTACCAAGTTATTCGTTACAATCAATTTGTTTTCTATGGTATGTACTACTTAGTGGTCCAAAAACTTAACAATTAAATTTTGCATATATAAAAATCTAATAATTTTTTTGCAATGGTTAGATTTTGCATAGAACTCAGATTATTATGGGCACCTCCTTTACACTCACCTAGGAGTTGCAGCCGTCTGAATCTCAATCTTTTCACGCTTTCTTCTTCTTTTTTTACAAATCAAAAAACATTTTCCCCATTTTTCTCTGTTCCTTCCCATTTTCTACCTCCTTTTTTTTCCGACAAAATTCACTTTTTATTATCTACACAAATATATTCCTTTAAAAAAAAAGGCCCACCAAACCCAAAAGCCAAAATTCGAAGAGCCTCCGTAGGATAGCACTCGGACCATAAAAAAAAGGAGAGATCCTTTTTCGCAGTTGGGATTTCTAGGCTTCTCTCGAGGAGAAATCTGAGCTGGGAGGATCTGAGAACCCAATCGAATGGCATCGCAGGGGCAGGGAGGGACGAACCCTGCCTGTGTAGGAAGGGCGTGAATGAAGCTGTTGTAACAAAATCTCTTGGTAAGTAGTTTTTGTTGGTATTCACCGGAGTTTGCTTATTCAATACCAAAATATGTGGGTGATAAGTTTACAAACTCTATCACACCTCTCACTTTGCACTCTCAATAAAATTGGACAAAGAAAGAAATAGAGAAAGGAGGGAAGCAACAAGCTTTGGCAAAACACTTGGACTTTGATATATGACAAAAGGTTTACAAACTGATGGAATAAGAAAGCTTACAAGCTTCTTCACAATTGGAAGTGGGATTCGGATGGGATCATTCTAAAGCCTAGCAAGGAGGCTTATTTATACAAGCAGAAAATGAATAAACAATAAGACAACACATGCATACAGATCATGTGAACTTTGGACAGCTTGCACACAGCAGCTCACATCTCTGCTGTCTTTCAACACACTTTCAGCTAGCACATGGAGGAAACTTTAGTCTTTGTAGTTGCAGCATGTGTGGATACAACCTGTGAAGAAACTACCAGCTAGCAGCAACCTTTTACAGCCTGTTTTTATTTGAATTTCCAACAGTTTTCCCATACTGCTACGAGGAATAGATTTTTCCATGTATGGATTGACGATCCTATGTCTCTCACATTTAGTATTTTTAGCGACGCAACTGTCTCCCGCAGTTATCAGAAATATTCAATGTTCTTATCTCACACTTCTAATGTGTTCTTGTCTTCGAATTAACAAAGTAAGCGATCATTAAACGTTGTACTAATCTATCTATTAGCTAAATGCTCAACATGATTGTCACACTGCCATGGCGCTATCGTCATTCATCTATATTGTTAGGTGCAAATTTCTAACATTAAATGGCGATGTGATTAGTCGCATTGAAAAATTAATCTGTCTCCAAAAGCATGCTCGTCTTTTACAAGAATTTTTCTACACATTGGGGAATCTGTCACGTGCCCACCACCTTGCTCTCATACGAAGTATTCTTTCACAAAACTTCTCTAACAGAAGATTCCATAACGCAGACGCAAACTCCATTAAAATTTGTAAGAATTAAGAACAGAAGAATTTCTCATCTCAAAGAAAATAATACATTCACTTATTATTTATTAATATTTGATTGGAAGAGTCACAGTTTGAGCTTGTATCTACCCAGTCCCAGCACCCTAATCTAAAGCTTCTGCGACGAGCTCAATCCGTAATTAGGGTTGAGCAAAATACTAGACTTCAATGGCCGTATAAAAGCAAAGAGATCAGTGAAATAGCAACTTTATTTTTTCCTCGTTACAACGGGAAGTTTCCGGTGAGGCGAATGTAATCCAATGTACGACGCAAACCATACTTGTTGACAGCTGCATTAGCTGCTCGAAACCCTCCTCCATATGCAGGTGAAGAATCGTTGGCGATTTGGTGCATGAAAAACTCCCCTAGTTTGTGTTCAATTTTCGATTTTCCACCTTTTTTTGATGAAAACGTGGAAGAGGAAGAGGAAGCTGCGGATGTAAATGTAGATGAAGACGGCATGTTTTTGAATCCCGGCATTAATTCTGACTCAAGCCACATGTACGAAAGCACCTGGCAGATGCCTTTCTCTACCTCGGGATTAAGATTCCGGTACCCTGCATTGTAAATTAAACAAGAAATTGAGTCCCCGAAAAAAGAGGGGGCGAGGTTCAGGGCTTAGGGTTTTAGGTTTAGGTTCGTGTGAGGAGGGCTTTGGAAATACATGCTACCTTTGAGGTGTAACAAGCCTTGCATCAATTCATGGGCAAGAATGGCACCTGTTAGTAACCTGCATCCAACAAGATTGTTGAAAACGGTCAGATGAACTTTGCGTGCTAGTTTTATAACCATTTCGTTTTTTTTTTTTTTCGAAAAAACCAACTAGCTTACCTCGGGAAGCCATAGAGAACAAGAATGGCAGTAACTTCACATTTTCGAGTCAATGTCTGAGGTTGGGTTCTCATTCCAATATATTGATGCCCCCTAATTCTCGGCCTTTTGATGATCTGATTAGTTACTCATGAAGATTCAAGAGAAACAAATGAGAAAATTCCTTTTAGGTCAGCTTCAGGAATCATTTCAATTTTAAGAAAGAACGAAAAGAGAACTAGAATTGTCTAAATTCGTACACTGGTGACAGTCTGCTCTTCCAAAAGGCATAAACCCCTGATCTCAGGCATGTGATGGAGGCCCTGCAAAGAACCAGTTATGAATTAGAAGAACTCCCCAAACTGAAGAAAAAAAAAACTCGAGAACAGAGCAGGGATTTCGACATTACACTCTTTTCGCCTACAACAGCTTCTTTTAGAGCTTGTCTTTCGACCAGAAGCATGGGTATTTGCTGATCCAATTGCATGTTCATCCCTTCAAAGTAGTCTCGTATGGCGTGATACAGAGTCTGACAGTCACCGGTGTCCATGATAGCAGATTCCATGCACTCGAAGCATTGACTTCGCCCGTCCCCCAATGAAACGTACCTTGCATCCCAAGACTTCAAAAGGAAGAAAAAGAAGAAAGCAGAAAAGTTTTCATTTAGCGCTCGTGACATTTCATTTTAAAGAAATACTAGGAGGAGATAGTTTTCAAGGTTTAAATTTTGGTGCTAGTGTAGATCAACGAGACGTGTTATCCTGTTCATGTGCTGGACAGTACTTTTGTGACCAAAACGGATGGCATCTGTACTCGATCAAACCAGCTCGATTTGTTGGAATCTGAAAATTTTCAAAGCGAAGAATTGTTTATGTCGAAGTAGGTTACAATAATATTTCTATTTATTTAGAAAATCGACTTTTCTTACAAATTGATGGCAAACTTCACACTTGGGATGAGCCAGTTCTTTAAAGCAGGACTTGTGATATGGATCCCTCCCTGACAAAGAAAACTTCAATCAAGAGAAAACACCGGTAAGAACTGGATCATAGGGAAATAAAGAACACAGTCGTCCGAGTCCAAGGAAGAGAAGCTACCTCATTCTCAAAAATCGGACGGCCACAAGAATGACAACAGAAGCACTGGGGATGAAAGAAAGTCCCCATGCATTCCAGGTAGTTGCCATAGCGTATGTCGAGTTTACAACCACCACATATTCTGCTTATCAGACAGAAAAAGCACAGGATTAGTATCAGCAACTTTCAAGCTTCATTAACACTGAGCAATTTGGTACGCAAATAAAAATTAATCAAATTGAAGATCTTAAGCTTCGCGAAATTAAGAAGTACACCCGATAAAATGCTACCTTTGCTGTCCATTGGGATAATACGGTGGAGGGGCTGGGGCATATGGAGGATATAAAGGTGGATTCAGACCTTCCTCACGTGACCTAGTAAGCTCGTCATCTTTTTCTGTCTGCGATCTATATCCTGTAAATTGGAAAATTTACAATCCTCAATAACGACATTGTGAAAACACGTGCGCGCACATACAGAACGTCATACTCGGAGTTCAGATCTTGAAGAATGGAAACCTACCACTTTTTTTTTTCAAATCTTCAGCCTGAGCCAGTGAAATTGCATGGTCTAACTCCTCTTTCTCCTTCTGCGCTCTAGAGCGGTCATCCTGATCACGGAAAGAAAACGAAACTAATTTAGAAATGCACCAACGGTTCCAGTCGTTTACTCGGATTCTCACTTTCGTCGTTGTAGTTTTCTTTTTTGCACTTTCGTTCTTATAGTTTCATACGTTAGCACCATTTAGTCGAATTCATCAACTAATCCTTCTGTTAAACAAGAGTCCATAACGGTTTTAGATTAGGTTTGCTTTTACTTTATTCAAATATTTATTATCTTGTATGTCCCTGAGTGTCTGCAGCATGCTAAATCATTGGCTGATAAACTTGCCAATATGGGTCGTCCAGTTGACCCTGACAATCTTGTTACAGTCCTTCGCGGTCTCGGCCCAGACTACTCCATGCTTCGCATTGCAGTCCTGAATAATCTCCACTGCCGCATTCGAAGAACTTCACTCCAAGAGCATTGCTTTCGATCTCCAAAATCCTCCACTTGCTGTCACCATTACTACCACCACCACAATTCCTCCCCATTCTACCTCTGATTACATTGAGAATTAGTTCCACGTTGACGAGAGAATAGACCTTGCATGGACTCGTAAGAGGTGGGGACTACATCTCATATTGCCAATTGGTTTTATGGTGGAACCTCAACTCTCTTCATAGTATCAGATCAGGTTGTCTCACGTGTGAAGTCAAACGGACACATGTGCTCCACATCACCCGGTTCTATTGTTCATATGTTAGGCTTAAAAAGCCGCCAAACGTGAGGGAGTGCATTGAGAATAAGTCCCACGTTGATGGCAGAATGGACTTTGCATAAGCTTATAAGAGATTTGATTACTCTTCATATTGCCAATTGATTTTATAGTGGAATCTCAACTTTCTTCATGTTCATCCGCCACCGCCACTATCACCTCTTCCACGGTTCCGAATCCTGAATACCTTAAATGATTTCAATAAGATCAACTGGTGGTTAGCTTAGCCATATCACTTCCACTTTGACTGAGCCTATTCCTGGTCTCACCCTGGGCCATGAATCTACTCTGCACTGAAATGGGCCTCGCGGATTTGCTGCTAGAGGTAATTGGACCTCTCTTGGTAACAACTTAAAAAATAAAATTTCCCACACTTACATAAAAACACTTCGGTAACCCGTGTTCCCGTCACAATCAAAAATTTCTCCAACCAATGTTGATTCGTGTCCCATTTTGTTCCATGTCATCATTCTGCTGCCACCTATCCACGTCGATATGGAGGCCCCGCTGCACTTTCTTCCTTTGCGGGCTCTCAAGTTGTTTAGTTTTGGGGAAAGGGATCCTCTCTGAATCCTTTCTACCAAATTTACCAAATCAAGGGATCTAGACCTTTGAAATTTGATCCAACGACTACAAACAGGGAGCCTCTTTAAAATTTATAATAACTTTAGCTGTTAGATCAAATTTCAAGGAATCAGATCCCTTAATTTGGTGGATTGGTGGAAGGGATCCGGAGAGGATCCCTTTCCCAGCATCGGAACCCCTAGTTGGTTTCCTAACACTGGTGCCACACACCATAAGACCGGTGATGCAAGTGCTCTTCAAAATCCACAACATTATCATGGTCACAACTCGGTTAAATGGGTGGGTGACACACTTAATGTCACTTTAACTGGTACGATTCCTATTTCTCTTAATTCTGGACCTTTCTATCTTCATAGTATCTTTCATGTTCCATCTTTACACAAAAATCTCTTTTCTGTTACTCACACTATGTAAGACAATAATGTGGCATTTGTTTCTTCCATCTCTTTTATTGTATTTTTTATTTACGTAATAGTGCGTTGCTCTTTCAAGATCCATGTAAAGATGGACTATACCCGTTGTCGTTTTAATCCCCTCAAGCTCTTACTGCGTCGTCCATTGATTGGCATAAACGTCTTGGTCATTTGTAAGCGTCTGTGTTGTCTCGTTTACATTCTAGTCTAGGTTCAAACTATGTCGTTTCTCGTCACTTTTGTAGAAGTTGTGCATTAGGAAAATTCACAGAGCTTCCTTGTGAATTGAATAATGCATGTGAAATTGTTCCTTCTTTTTTTATTATCCATTAGGATGTGTGGATGTCCACCATTGATTTTGTTTCTGGTTATCTTGTTAAATACTTTTAATCGATGATTATTCGCGTTATTCGTGAATTTGTCTAATAAAAAAGAAATCTGAGGTTTTCACGTATTTTCAAACATTTGTGGCTACGGTTAGAAATTTATTTAATGTCTCTATTAAATAATTGCAAAATGATGGTGGTACTAAGTACGTAAATCACTCATTTCTGAGTATTGCGATCGATCTAGTATTCAATAACATTTTTCATGTCATCACATGCCCCAATAGAATAAACTTGCTGAGCTCAAGCATCATCATAGTGTTGACATGACTAGTATTTTGCTCGTTGCGGCTTATGCTCCTCTCACTTTATGGGTTGAGGCCGTGCTCACTTTTGTTCACCTCATCAATTTACTTCCTACACCTACACTTCGTTGGTCCACTCCCCACACATTTTTGTTTGGTTGCTCTTCTTCTTCCACTCACTTACGTACCCTTGGTTACTTGCGTGTTCCTTATGTCAAAAATAAACTGATGAATCGATATATTGAATGTGTAAGGTGGGATATAATGATTCTCATAGAAGTTAAAAGTGCCTTGATCCAAGTTCGGAATGTGTTTACATTTCTCGGCATGTTATGTTTCACGAGGCTGACTTTCCATATGTTAAGCCACACCATTCAGCTTCGTCCTCTTATGTGGAGCTTTATGTTGTTCCCATTGGCATAGGCCCACAACCGCAATACCACATTCGTTGTCTTCAGGTTTGTTTGGAAATGTTATTAAAATAACTAAAAGTGTTTTTAGAAAAAATATTTTTGGGTTACAAAAGTACTTGAATTGCTTCCTGGAAAAAACACCGGTTATGTGCTTCTTTTAAGAAGCACTGCTTTGGCTTGCATCTCGGCCTACTCCTATGTGGACTAGTCAGCTTGTGTTGATACTCGTCGCTCAACAACAAATTATTTGGTTTATCTTGGCAATAACTTAATTTCATGGTGTTCTAAGAAGCAACCAACCTTGTCCAAGTCTAGTGTTGAGTTTGAGTATCAAACACTCTCCCACCCGTGTGTTGAAATTACATATCTTATTTGTTTCATGAGTTAGGCATTGCTGATCAATTTCCTATTTTTCTCTACTATAACAACCTCAACACCACATTCATGGCAGCAACCCAGGTTTAGGACTCATCATATTAAGTTGGATTATCACTTTGTTATAGAACGAGTGGCCTTGGGCAGCCATCAAGTTCATTTTTTGCCTTTTGTTGATCGGCCTGCCGACTTGCTAACCAAGGGTTTTCTTAAGGCTCGTCATCTTCTACTTCGATCCAAACTTGTTCATCCTCCGATGCCAAGTTTGCAGGGGGGTGTTAAACATGAGTCCATAATGGTTTTAGATTAAGATAATATTAGGGAGACTAAATTTTGCATACTAAATATCATGAAAGTTGATGATTGGATTATTAATTAAGTGTTGATTAACGTGTTTAATTCTCATTGGTGACACATCATTTAGTTTATAAATTTAGTCTTCTTAGTATTTAAGTTGTTTTAATTTAAGTTCAAATATTTGTTATCTTGTATATGAGATATTGATGGAAAACTTATCATCCCAATAGGACTTTTTGTACTCTTTAACAGTTGTATCTATTTATAAGATGGATCAATGAATGAAAGGCTACGACTTCCACAAATATTGTCTCACATGAACAAGCTTTTTCCCAACTTCGATTTTTCAAATGAGAATATGTGCACAAAAAATTGATGGAACAATCAACTCACGGATTTGACCAAAGTAAAAACATAACAAAAATTACGTCCATGGATGAAAGTAAAAATTCAAGTAAAGAAAATAAAAGAAAATTAAAAGACAGAAATTAACAATGAGTGTACGAAAAGTAAGTAAAAATGGGTGAAGATATAAGCACTCAAAATCAAGTGGGAATTTTTAAAACCCCATATCTTGCAATCTCAAGGAAAGTTAAAATTCTTAGCATCCACCCATTTCAGATTGAATCCCTTGTATTGCAAGTAAAGGGCATATTTTGCAGCCGAACTCGAACAAAAATATGCCATAATTTTGTAATCCAAACAACAATAACTAACATATATGAACAATCCGAATTTAAGAAAACGTGATCATAAAAAATACGAGAGGGGTTGGTGTTCAAACCAAGGATCGAGGCAGCGCCCGCCAAAGCTCATTTTCGTCACCACTAAGCTGCGGATTCGGGTTGCTGCGCTCGGCGGCTTCTCCACGATTAGGCCCACTCCTGAAAAGTTTACCGAGACGTTTCATAAAGCGCGACTCTGTTCCAACAACATAAGAAAACAGAGCTTCAGAAAACAAATGTTTGGAAAAATTAAAGTTGAATTCATGTTATATATATATGTATGTATGTATGTATGTATGTATATATGTTATACCGCAAATACAAGGGTGAGAAATCTGGGTGACACCTGAAGGAACGATTGAAGATTGAGCTCCTTATGTATAGGAAGAGCCTAAGAGGACTTCACCGTAATCACGAAGAACCTTGAAAGGGACGGTCAGAGAGAGAAAGAGAGAGAGAGAGAGAGAGAGATGAATTACGTGACGGACGGCTCAAAAGAAAAGAGGGAGGAGAACAAGGTACCAGGCATCGGCAAAAATTAAAAGGCCGAAAGAGAAAGCAAGAGAATCTCTGAGAGAGACAGAAAGTGATTGTAGAATGTAGACAGACAGGCGCAGAGAAAGGCTCAGATTCTTGGCTTCCGAAGCAATGAAATTCAATTCATTTCTCTCAAACTACCAACTAAAAGAAAACTTAAATTCATATATCTGTGTATGCACATACATGTACGTATTAGTCCTTCTATAGTAAGGGCAGTGTTTAAAATATCCACAAAATTGTCAATATTTTTGTTGAAATATTCAAAATATTAATGATCGATATGGAAAGGGAAGGTGAAATGCAAACTTCACCTATATGATGAATCGATGGAAAAGAAAAAAGGTGTGGTGTGTATATGCATCATCATGGATTGCAATTGGAGGGAAGTGGATGGATTGAAGCCCCGGTTTGAGATTGCTATGTTTTTTAAAAACTATTTATCCTATGCTTGAAGATGATCAGTTGTAAAATAAAGTAGTTGAGCGTTTGATAAACACTGTCATAAAGGTTAAAACACTGTCATTTTTAAAAACTAATGAGGGTAATATAGTTGGTGAAGTTATTCTTTAAAAGCTCAACTCCGTTTTTTATTAAAGCAACTTTTAATAGCAACCAACATGATGATTTTGAAAGCTACTGTTTGGAGGCTATTACTTTTAAAATAAGCAGGATATTTTTTGTTTTTATCAAATATTTTTTTATTGCTTAACTTTAAAGTGAAGCAGTTTTTGATGAAAAAACAAGGCCAAACAGGACCGAAAACGATGTACTTTTCTCTTCTTCTTTTTTTTTTTTTCTATTTTCTTCCTTGTTTTGAATTTTAGAACAAATTTATGTTTTCCCGTGTTTCCTTTTTTTTTTTTTTTTGAACAAACGATATTATTTATATTAAATGGGTGAGAGATTAGGTTAAGCTTCATCATAGGCTAGTAATAATGTGGTTCAAATTCGCCTTTGGCAAGAATTGAACCTAAGACATCTCACTTACAAATGTTGAGGAATACGACTAGACAGTTACACTATTTAAAACATGGTCAGAGCATACTCTTTATTTACCGAAATACCATGGGCCTCCATCCCCTCATGTGGGTATATATTAGGAATCGTATGTCGGACTACGTGGTTGTGCGGCTACACAGTCATTAAGATGGTCGGTTTCCCTTAAGTTGTATACGGCCGGTCAGACATAAGTTTTCACCTTTGTATGGCAGTTATGGCCAAGAAGTTCGTTAGTAATGTTGTCTCACCATAACATGATTCAATTTAATTTTCTCCAAAGGCGTATTTGTTTGGACCCGATTTTACAATATCAGTCCGAGTAATCGAGGCCGTTGATTGAGCAAAGTTTTTTACCGTTGAATGATAAAGTGGTTGAAATGATTTTTAATTATTATTGAGAAATAATATTTTATTTTAATCATGATATTATCTCTTAGTAATATATTAAATTATTTGAACCTAATATTTGTCTAAATCCCAATTGATTTGAATGATGGTGGAGTATGGAGATATGAACGGCGTCAAATAATCAGGAATTGGATCCTCTCCAAGGCAAAGCCTCCGGATCCTCTTGACCCACCAACATGGACCGTTGGATCAAAATCCAACGGTTACAATTATTATAACTTTTAGAGGGGCCCCTTGTTTGTAGCCATTGGATCAAAATCCAACGGTCAGTGTTATTGGGTCAGGAGGATCCCGAGGATTTGCCTCGGAGAGGATCAAATTCCAGATAATGAAGCATGCAAGATAGATGATATTATGATTTTCTTTATCATAATAATTATCTTTTAATATAAATTATCTTAGCATTTTCTCAAACAGGATAAATAGGATGCGAGTTATATTCTCAAGCAAGCAGTGCAGTTCAAATTGATTTGGGATGTCTGGCAGTGTACGTGTAGATTGAAACAGCTTGGAGTGGAGATCAACATATGTGATTTAATGATCTCCAAAAGGAAAATCATGGTCTTGGACAATGATGAGATAAGGAACCTAGGTAGGCTAGGCCATTTTGCATGGTGTTGGTGTTGTTAGATAGTTTAAAGGCTACTGATGGAGTTTTGATGATGAGATAAGAAGCCTAGGTGGGCTAGGCTTTTAATGAGATGTGATAAGCCTAGATAGGCTTTTATTTTATTTGAAAAGTCACGTACAGTAATCTGAAGGATATGCTTTGGCCTCTAATACGGATCAATTCAAGGCCCGCGAGTGAGAGTTGTAGTTGGACTCTACAAAATTATCTGGCCATGCCAAGCAAAAAGTATGGATGTTATAAGCCTATAAATACATAATCGCTAGCAACATTTAAGCCCTCTCTAATTCAACACACAAATTACTCTACCTCAACAACCTTTGAGATTTTATCCTTCTCCTATTTCTTCCTCCAACACAACACATCTTCAGTTTGGATAAATAGCACTATGAAGGCAACTGGCGACATCTTCAGTTTGGATAAACAGCACTGGAGCCATAGAATTAGCCGATCAAAGAGCACCTTTAGTTTGGATAAACATCACCGCTTCGAGGCCGATTGATTATTTATCTAAGTCTCAGTCGACGACGATTTTCGAGTCCTTATTGGTAGAGGTCATCTCATCAGCCTTCTCGGCGAAGTGAGGTGTTCCAAGTTACTAGACTCAGCACATTGAACGCTGAGTTGTTTTATGATTGGATATTCACAAGTATCTTTTAGAGTTCGATATTCCGACAGCCGAACCACATTTACCATCAAGACATACATCTTTTTTTGAGTATTTGTGTCCATATAGTCTGTTACCAATTCGACATGCTTATACTCTCACGAATATAATCACTGTGATCGAACCCGGCGCCGACAATCCGTGAACTTCGCAAGACTAGCAGCCTTGTCTTCAGGCTCTAGCACCCAAAGGCCAAGACGTGTTCCTTCCTCGGCCACAGTCGCAAGATCAAGAAGTCAACAGCTCACTTAACGCCACACCAACATATTTTACTCCCCGGCCGAACTCGACTGATGAATTGGGACGCCCCGCACACAGCCGAATGACGTAGTTAGCTTATTAATTACTCGGCCTGCGCGCCACATAAGCTTGGTAGTGTTTAGGATCAACAGTATTGCATGTGCTTATTAACACTATAGTTTTAGCATATGATATATTAGTACTGTCTTTTATCAATATTATAACACATGAATTCATATCATCGTATAATGTAGTGACCGTGACACTCAAACATTTCTCATCTTTTATTTTCGCCGAGTGGGTTGATGTTGTGTTTGGATAAGAGGAAAATGCGGGGCATTATATCCAAGAATTAGCATATATAAAAGCAGCCAAATACCTTTAAAGATTAAAAGTGTTCCTAATGGTGATCCATTTAAAATAGCTGGTTTTTATTCTCCCTTTTCCTCTCTTTTACCCCACTTTTTTCCCCATTTGGTTTGTCAAATACAATAATTAAATTCTCTTTGCTTCCAATGGAATTAGATACTCATCTATATATTAGTTCTCTTTTCTTCTCATTAGGTAACATGGCAACAATATTCTCTAACAAAAAATGCCCCTTCTCATCAGCATCTTAAGCGAGCCCTTTGCAGGGAAATTTATATAATCACATCAAATATTGTAACTTTCCTTGACTAATGTATATATATAATTTTGATACTGCCAAACGCATTGTGATTTCATATATATTTGGAACCGCACGGACGTAGCCACCAAAACTAAGATGGATGAGCTATTTAGGGTGGGACGGAGTTTTGGAGAATAACTTATATGCAACAGAGTTTTGATTGAATAAATCTATGTCATGTAAATAAAATCTTGATATAAGTCTATCATTCTCCTAGTTTTGTACATGTTGTGAATAGTTTAAAACTTTGTGTATACAGTCAAACCCCACTTGGAACCTTGGAAGCTTATATATGTGCCAACCAAAATGTTGTGATTTTTAAGACCATATAGTTGTGATTTTTCAGACCATATATAATATAATGCAGCCATTGATATATTTCTAGAACAAAAACAAAAAAAGATTTACTAGAACGAATAAATTAAGTTCCTGGATTTGCACGGCCTCTATCATTTGTAAAATTCTTGTATGTAGAAAATCTGTATTGGTACCTTTTTTGATAAGGCACAAAGTACCTGATACTCTATGTAGTTGTCTGCAACAGGCAACCAAAGGCAAAGTCGGTTTTTGCATGGCAACTGTCCTGCAATATTCCTATACTACACAATTTTGCGATATGATGACTCATTTCAGGATGAAAGGGGACTTTTGCTAGCCGTCCATATGCTTATTTTTCACTTATTTATTCATCTTGGCTAAAGCCTAAAAGAAAGCGTTTGCATATCCTGATATTGATATATAATTGATCTCGATCATACCACAACGTGATTTATTAATTCATGTGTTATAACACGTACGAGTAGGGACGGAGAGGCAAAGGGGGTTAGCTGATCCTCTGAATTCTCGTGGATCTTCATAGACGACTTGGATGTTGTCCCTTTGAAGGTTTGAATTGTTCTTTATACATGCCCTCCAACGACTTGATAAAATGTCTCAAAGAGGAATTACTCTTATTATTATTATTATTATTTTAAAATATTACCTGGAAAAAACCACATAGTTTTGGAACAGATTATTTCACAAGGAAAAAATAGACAAACAACAGTTTCAAAAAAAAAAGGGCAGGCCCGCATGCTCAGCAAACCTGAATGCTTCATTCCTAACTTTTGATGAACAAAAGCAAATTTGTTTTGCTCAATTTTATCCAAATGAATTTTCTATGTGTCAACTCTTAGCACTTCAAGATCAACTATATGTGTTCGAGTAGTGAATTTTCTCAATTGAAATGAATTGGTAGTCTGGCAAAAAAAATAGTAGAGACGAGTAGGAATATAGTATATAATCATGTGTGGTTGCTACTTACATTGTCTTTGGTTCCACTGGTGACTAATGCTTCAGTGGAGAGAGCCTTGAATGGAAGATCAATGGTTGAGTGATAGCATGATTGTTTATATTGAGAACAATGTTTTGTCTTCTATTGATAATGAAGCTATAATGCAGCATTTTCAAAATATAAAAACGCATCGTGGACAATTGTAACTTTTATTGTTATTTGTTCTATAAATTATGAATGATAAAACTACAGTTTAATTTTTAACGTTATTATACGTTTAAGAAATGTTGTGAATTTTTACATATGAGCTCCTGAATAATTTTTTCTGGATCTCCCACGGTACGAGTGCATGATATATTAATATTTTAGGGTCTCATATAACAAATAAAAAAATTGTGTTATGACGTAATAGATTAGTTAAATCACATGGCGGTTTGACGAAAATGGATCTACTTAGGAATATAATCTATATCCAATAGGTTGTGGCTTGAACCATATTCGCAGCAGTTTTGGGAGGCTATAGCTAGGAACTTTATTACTTTGAGAAGTTGTGAGTGAGAAGCGGTCGATGTTAGATGCTAAGATTCTGGTAAAGGGCAACATATTTAGTTTAGGGATTAGCGTTGCAGATGCGATGCATGCATGCGCATGGAAAATTGAAAACCCTGCAGTTGCTGCTGCCTTTCCTTAAAGTAAAATTATTTAGACTTTGATACTGTCGTGAAAAGAGGAAGTGATAAATATTCAGAGCACATCATGAAACAAATCACTCCATTTTTGCTCGTGGTTTTGGCTGCATATATATGGGTTTTTTTTTTTTTTCTTTCTTTGAGTTGGGGGTTGTACGGAGTGTGGACTCTTCCTCCTAGTTCTGTGGTTCTGATATTGCTTGAGGCCTAGCCCAAGGGTGATCCCTCAATAGTTTGTTTTGCTTGCTGGGTTCAGCCCTCCAAATTCCAAATGCAGAGGTTCATATTTGAAGACATGTTTAATTTAGGGAAAGATTTTTAAAACGTCGCCGGTATATTGTTATTTTATATTACTCAGTTATTGTTGATAACCACTTTTTTTTGGAATACGTACTAATGAGTGGTTCTAAAAATCAACCAATAGTTAAATTCTGTACGTATAGAGACCTAATAATTTTTTTGCAAGGATTATATTTTACATAAAACTCGTACTACTAAGTAGCACGTATTATTGTAGTCATACTCTATTTTAACGCATGTATTTTTCTACCAAAACTATACCCTAAGTCCCTCCTTAATGTATCAACCACATATAATTGTACCCTAAGTCTCTCCTTAATGTATCAACCATATGTAATGCACCAAACTGTAATACCTGAATATAACATTGCATGACAATACAACCGTCACAATAAAAAAAATCTTTATTACCCAACAAAGAGTTCTTGTGACGACCCATCCCAAATTTTACATTTTTATTAATTTTAGAAGTGTAAATTTATGAAAATGCCCTAGAGACAAAGACTTTGACTTCCATTGATCATCGGTTAGAGCGACATATGACTTATTCTTTTAGCATATCCTCGTAGTACTTGTCACTACGAACACATAGGCAAAAGCCGTTTGCGAGTCCGAATTATAACGATATAATTACGGACGTTTGAAGTTGGTTATTTAAAGGTAGTTAAATTATTTGAACTCCCACCTTGTGGGAAGACTAACTAATCAGTCTTAAGTAAAGAGGAAAAAGGACCAATCAAATAAAAGGGGTGGAGGACCAGTGAGAAATCAGAAAAAAGGAAAAAAAAAAAAAGGGGGGAAAAGCTGGGAGCTTTCCCCGTGGGTTCCGTCGATACACTTCTACGACCACCCATCCTTCAAGGCCGATTCCGGCCAATTCCGATGGATTTTTTCGATGCCACCACCACCATCTTGAAGCTCTCATTCCCCTCTACAAAACTCACCCAAGAACCACCTTGATTAACCATGGTATATGGCTGTTGGAGGCCACGAAAGTTGACGAAAATCAATAGTGCTCCAGCCACCCTTTTCGATTTTTCTGCAAATCGGCAAAGCGATGGCCAATGCCACCACTTGGGCTTTGTATCCCATCATCCTAGGAGCAAAACCCAATCAACCTTGACCCCGTTGGACCACCGTAGACGACGAATCGACGTCGGAAATTTTTAGGCACCCATCGGCTTTGTGGACAAAATTGACCATCTTCCGTCCACTTTTAGACTTTGTGGCAGGTATGAAAGTTGTTACACTCATTGAGATCTTCATTTTTGTGAAGTTTGAGAATTTTTGGAAATAGTTGGATTTTCCGGCGAGTTGGGGCCACCGACCACCACCCACAGCTACGCGTGTGGCGGCGCGTGGCTAGTGGGCCGCCAATGTTATTTTTAGGCTATGTCGAATATCTTGAATTTAGTCGTGATATTTGAATGATGTAGGTTGATCATTGGAACCTAAATTCTCTACGATATGTTAATAGGTATTTATGTGAATCGACGATCCAACCGTTGGATCATCACCAAACTTTGTTAATTTGTAGTACATAATATTTGAAGAATGTAGGAACTTACAGATTGAGAATCTGATGTACAGATCTTTCCGAATTGGATATGTAAATTCATAAAATAAAACGTTAACTGCTAATCAGTTGTGAGAATTGGTTAGGATTCAACCGTTGGATCGTAATAAAATTTTAATATGTTATTCTAGAAGCATAATGTGGATCTTTGAAAGTTACGGATTGGAAATCTGATATGTGAATCTTCCGAATCGAGTTATACAATGTTGTAGACCCTAACGTTGATCTTTGATCAACGGTTGAATTTTGGTCAATGGGTCTTAAATTATTCTTGAAGGTCATTGAGGATATGTTTTATGTAAATTATGTATTTTATCGGCAAGAACTTTGATACGTGATTTGATAATTGGTCACAAGCGACGATAAATCATGATGTCTCGATATGCGTGCAAGATAATCATAGTGTGGACTCCAGGTAAGTGGGTCTTTTTCTTTCATAGGCATATAATTGATATTTACACAAGCACTTCTATAGTGATCTATGCTTGTTACCTACAATTAATCATTGTGAACTACGAATGGCTTGATCCCTGTTTAGGGTACGTAGGCAGTCTAACAAGACATTAGATGCAGCTATATAATAAATGAGATTAAATAATTGACGCTGTTGACGCCTAAGTAAGCCTCAGGTGAGTACATGTTGATGTTAGTGATGTTAGTAAGTATGATTGTGTTGAGATATAATATAGCTCATAAACCTGCACCCCAGTGTTAGTGCTCCCGCTCGTGGCTAGGGCACAGTCCTTCACGTGATGTTCACCTCCCGCACCTTACGCTCACCTTGGATCCAAGGTAGGTGCACAGTCTTGTTGTACAAACCACTTTAGGTCGTTCCGACTCGTAGGTGACCCGCGATTATTCGCACAGTCTTCACATGATCGTAGCACTTGAGCGTATTTATTTACACCTAGTCTTGTCGTACAGATCACTTTAGGTGGTTCTGACTCACGTGCAGGTATACTTATTGAGCTATTGGCTAGCATGATTGATGAGATATGAATAAATCGTACAGGTCACTGTAGGTGACTTCGACTTATATGCTAGCCATGATTGATGAGATATGAATAAGTCGTACAGTTCACTATAGGTAACTCCGACTTATATGCTAACCATGATTGATAAGATATGGATAAATTGTACATATCATATTATATGACTCAGACTTATATATCATTTTGTATTGATTAAGTTCATTTGGCCTACTTATTTTTGCATGGTGGAGTTGATGGCAAACCGTGGTTTTGGCCATTTCTGAGTATGGTTTGGATATATGCATATATGTTGTATTGTCTTATGGAAAACGATACGAGTTTTACATGTAGGGGCATTACTTTTATAGAGGTAATAACTTTGGGAAGCTTGGTTTTATTGCTTGCTCACACTCTCTGTTTGGTGCCCTCCAGGTTTTAGCTGCTGAGTTTGTATCGACAAGGATCTGTGGCAAATCTTAGTATTGATGGATATTTTTGAGGGTATGATTCTTACCCACACTCATGTACCTTATTTATGCTCTGACATCGTGTGTGAAATGGGTTCGTTCCCGCTCACAACGAACTCTGGTATTAAAAAAATTTAGGTTCAAATTATTCACATTTTTCTACACTCTATCACATTTTATGGCTTCGTCACCTTCCAGGTGTCGGCCAGCACAGCTTGATTCAAGGTCCAAATGGACTTTCTGGATCGGGATGTGTCAGTTCTCACTATTGGATCATGGAACTATTTATGGAGAATATTTTTTCTCATCATCCTAATACTCGTCACTCTATTGATCATTGTTAACTAAGTGTAAATCTCAAAATTATGTAGTAAATAGACATAAATTTCAAAATTTTAACTTATATAATAATGGTAATTTTTACCACCGGTGATAGTAAATTGAACCCTTTAATTACAAACCCGATAAAATATGTCAATTGGTCAACGGGAAAGTCTACCTCTTTCTCTCTCTACCTCCTCATTTCATTAGTTTTCTCTTTTCTCGATCTCTCATTATTTCTGCATTTCTGATCCTTGATCATAGACTGTGAGTTTTCCTTCTTATTCCACGATCCATCTATTAGACTACATATAAACATATATTTTTCATCTTTTTAAGGAATTATGCATATCTACAGTTTATTCTTTTTGGGCTTTGTTATTATTGTCTTAATATTTTGATTTTATGTAAATAATTGCACGTTTGGTTTTGGTTTCCCTAATTCATGAACTCACGGTCTCCTTCGTTTGTTTGAAGACGTCGAGCTTCAGCACTACTGCTAACTACTAGGGATCCCCAAGAGAAAACGAGGTAATTCTTTTCTTTTCTTTTTTCTTTTTTATTTTTTCATAAATAACCGGTAAATTAGATGACCGGGTAATTATATTCATATTTGCATCCATTCATGGCTTTTTATTAATGGGGGGGGTTTTTAACTTTTATCCTTTAAGAAGATTGAAATTTAAATAAATTTGGTGTTAGATTACATATTGATTATAGTCCCTTGATGTATCCTTAATTCAAAATAATTAATGTGCATTTTATTTAATGTCTCCCATTAAATATTTAAATTTATTAATATACAAATTTTAATTTATTTTTTTACTACATTTTTTTTAATTTTTTAATTTTATCTTACATTCTTCAAACTTGAAAGACTCAATTAATGTACCTAAATGTTCGTACCGAAATGTATTATAGTGAATTAATGTATTTAAATGTTAGTATCAAAATGTATGTACTGAAATATATGCACCGAAATATATTATATTAAATTAATGCACCTAAATATGTGCACTGAAATGTTAGTACCGAAAATTATGTACCGAAATGTATTATGTTGAATTAATGAACCTAAATATTTGTATCAAAATGTATGTACCGAAATATATGTACCTAAATGTATCACCGAAATGTATTATAATGAATTTAATGTACCTAAATGAAGAAGACAAAGTACATCGAAATAGATTGTATAACAAAAATTAGTTTATCTAAATGTTACAATAAAATATATTATGATAAATGAAATGAAAATTATAATTATAATGAAATAAAATTAATACATTAAAATTAGGAAGAAAAAGAGAAATAATTAAAAAAATCAAAATGTATTTAATAAACGAGGTAATTAATGTATCAATGGACCAAAATTATATTTTGATCTTACTCATAGTTTTAGTCTAAAAGTCATTTTTGTCAAGGATTAGAATAAAGTTTTCTTGTGATTAATTAGATAAATCTCGAGCTGTGTTACAAGTTTCTGAGACTGCTAATGATTTGTGATTGCTTCTGATGAGGGTTGGTTTCAGTTTCTTGACAGTGGAAATTGTTGACAATTCTTAAGTAGACACTATGGGTGGTGGGCTTCGCTCAAACGTGAAGAGGTACGCTGTCAAACGCTCCACAACTTTGGATGCTGACACAATGCATGAGAACGAGATCGTCGATAGCAGTTTGAGTGAACCCCGGGGTTCCAAACCGGCCGAAGAAAAACTTGTGCATGAGAACGAGATCGTCAATAGCAATTTGAGTGAGCCCCGGGGTCCTAAACGGGCCGAAGACTTATGTGCAGTTGTTCCTGCCAAGTGACAGTGCAGAGTGGCACAACAACTCAATTAAAAGATGATACTTATGCGAGAAATAAAAAGTTAGTGTCGAATTTGGATGCAAACAATCTAACTGGATTGTTCTGCTACTTGGCACTACCACGTGCCAAAAATAGCTCCCACACAAGTTTTTCTTCAACCCGCTGATGGTGCGGATAAGAATCCATTGCAACAAAGAAACATGTTTGTGTAGTATTTCCCTAGTTTTGAAAATCGAACTCTATGTTCCAAGACTTTAAGTTTCAACTATCATGTATAACTAGCAAAAGTGTTCGAGCGAAGCTACAGCGTTTTTAAACAATGTTTGAAATGAAGAAATCTAAGCAATGTTTGAAATGAAAGCTTGTCTGGCTTTTAAGTCGGTAATGCGTTGGGATTATAATTGAGGGCAGCAATTTGAGTATTAAAGAGCGAATCCCACATCAACCAGGATATGTTTCAAACGCCCTTTATATATTGCTTAGCGGTGTACTTTATACCTTCGGGGACATTCGATAAAATTGGAACAAGAGATTAGCATGGCTCTTGACACGGAAAAATTTTTAGGTGTACCCGGTACACCAAAAAAATTTGGTGTACCTTCACTCATAATGGTGTACCCTCACTTTTTGTACCCTCACTTATTTTTCAATAAATAAATTCTAATGAGTGAGGGTACACCGAAAAATTTCTCCTTGACACGCATGGTCCAAATTTTTTTTCCCTTTTTTTTGGGGGGGGGGGGGGGGGAGCTTTAATAAAAAGGGAACCAAGATTATTTTAATAAAAAACCACCCTATAGTTTTCTTTAACCAAAAGCACCTCAAAATTTACTATAAAGACAGAGGTCTCCAATTCTACATGGGCTAAATTACAGAGTCCAACAAAAACAAAAATAAGTTTCCAAAATTACCCCAACAAGGAGGCGCAGGTCTGAAACTTGTTTGTTCTCATGAAAGAGAAAACTCACGTCAGCTCCAAACAGAGCGTCAATCAGCATTTTGTTTTCTTCATTTTTGGTGCATATATCAGTTTTTGAATTTCCTTGTCCAAATTAGATTCAGATTTGGAGAATAACCAGACTTTGAGAAGAAAAAAAATCCCAAATTATTGAATCCAATCTCCAAAAGTACAATTAAAAAGAAACGAACAGGAAAAGAACTGTGCAATTGAATCAAGGAGGAGGACACTCAAACTAAATCCATTTTCCATGGAGTAGGAAAAAAACCAAAAATTCGAATTCCTTGCACCCATTTCTCCATAAAACTAGAAAGAAAAATATATCTCCATCTGTGATAGAACCACCTTCCCCAATTGCAAAATCTGGAAAAGAAAAAGAAAATAGAAAAAGCAGACGAGAAAGAGAGAGAAAAGTGACTTCAACCATGGTGTTGAACTTTCATAACATTGTAAATGTTAAACATTTCTGGGAAATAGTATGCTTTTTTTGCCACTTTTTTAGAAAATAATGATGACCCGTTATATTTTGAATTCGTAACTGTTTTTGGAAAAACTAACATTGTCTCTACAAAAAACTAAAACTGTCTCTAGAAAAACACTGTCTCTAGAAAAATTAACATTGTCTCTGGAAAAACTAACAATGTCTATGGAAACAGTGACTTAGATTCTAGAAACAATATTACTTAAAATCCAAAAACAGTTTATTTTTACAGTCCAAAAACAGTGACCCATCGTTGTTATTGAATAGCATGCAGATCTCAAATTTATTTTCTGGAGAAAAAAACAAGGAACTCCACTGACAAAGAAAAATTGAAAAAAACTACCTCAAATCCACTATGAATAATAACGACGATCATATTTCAACGAAATAATACAAAATATAAATTAAGTAGTATGAGGATCTATATTTTTGTTTCAAAGAAAAAGAAGGTCTGCAAAACAACGATGAACTCCATTAACGATGAAAATCTGGAACTCAACCAAAAAAAGTTAAATGTCAAATCAACAAATTATAATTTATTACAGTTGGGCCATGTTTAGTTGGGCCATTTTTAATTGGACTGCTTTAATATGAGCCTTGTACTAATCATTAAACAAAACTTATAATATGATTTTTTTTTATTAAAATTAAAAATTTTCAAGCCCTTTTCATTAGTTTTCCTTTATTTTATTTATTTATTTTTTTTTTTTTTGCCATTTGCCCTCGATCTGCATTCAAGGTCCTTCGAAGAACCAAATACAAAGTTGAATGGTGAATACAGTTTTAATTTATTTATAAATTTTGTGCGATTTTCCCATTGTAGAGTGTTTCCAGATGACTAGATTAAATATGTAGATGAGGCATCTAAAATTATAGTTAATTTGTGTAACCACTTAAAAAAAATTAACATTATCGAAAAACACTAGAAGAATCAAACTATATGGAGAAAAGAACACACTTTTAATACATGATGGAATAATAATCATGTGCAAAGGGTTTATTCTTCTTCTTCTTCAAATTATTTCATGATCTTTTGTTGTATTCAAGGTGCTTTTGAAGAGCAAAGGCAAAGTTGAATGCAGCTTAGGTGGGTTTTTTTTTTTACAACTACAGTTAATTAGTATCCCACTTTGGCAACTGCTAATCTATATCTAAACTATTTATTAATAAAACATTTTTTGTCTATCAAAATTATAGAACTGAACAAAAATAAAAATTATGGGCAATTTAGTAATTACATGCAACATGAATTTTGTTGTTTTTTACACTACCCTCACAGCCATGCACCCTAACCTGGAAATGTCAACTAGGACTCCGAATTAAGCTGTGCTGGCCGACACCAAGAAGGTGACGAAGCCATAAAGTGTAGTGATGTGGAAAATATCAATAAATTTAAACCTAAAGTTGCCTAAATACAAGAGTGCGATGTGAGCGGGAATGAACCCAATTCATACACGATAACAGAGCATAAGTACAGTACAGTAAAATAGGGTGAGAATTATACCATCGATGATAATTGTCTACACTAAGATTTGCCAATAATCCTCGTCGGTACAAAAACTCTGCTACTAACACATGGAGGGGCCAAAAACAAGGGTGAGTAGGCCTAAAAAAAGTTTTAATAAAAACCTTTTGAAATCGTTATAACCCCTCGTCATAAAATCCATATAGTTTCCAGAAAATACTACTACGTAGGTATGACAACCAATGCACAAAAGCAGCGAAAACTAAAGTATGTCATGTCATAATATCTCAGCAATAATAAATGTAAGCTAGGTGTGAAACCAATATGAAATAGTATGCCAGTCGGAGTCATCTAACGTGACCTATACGACTGGACTTATAGCTCATCAATCTAGGCTAGCACACGAGTCGAAATCACCTAGTGTGACCTGTACAACATGATGGGTATAAATATGTACGCTCAAGTGCTACGATCACGTGAAGGCTATGCAATAAATCGCGAGTCACCTACTAGTCACAACCACCTATTGTGGTCTGTACGACAGGCTAACACTAGACTTGGATCCAAGGTGAGTGTGCAGTGTGGCAAATGAACAATCACGTGAAGGCTGGCCCTAGCCCCGATCGGGAGCACTAATACCGAGGTGCAGCCATAGTGAACTCTAAATGAATATATGCATGCTCATATAATGCAACCATTTCAATCACATAATAACTCACCTGAACTTACCTGTGCCTCCGTATGATCATTTAGCACAAACACATTTCATAACAATGCAACATTTAAAAATAATACATTTTCTAAACATGGCATGAAATGCAATACTCAATTTAAAACATTTCTGGAAACCGTTAATACACACACACACACACACACACACACTCTCTATAAAAAGGAAAAAGACTCACTCACCTGAAGTCGGCGCTACAACTCCCTAGCGCGAATATCGAGACATCACAAACGATCATCATCTAGAACAAATATTCAGTCACGTCTCAAAATTCTTATCGATAGAACACGTAACTTACATAAAACACATCTCCAAGGACATTCTAAAATGATTTGAGACCCATTGACCAAAAGTCAATCGTCGGTCAAAGATCGACTGTAGGGTCCACAACCCTACGTAACTCGATCCAGAAGATCTGCATACAAATTTCTGATTCGTAACTTCCAAAGATCCACATTATGCTTCTAAAACATCATACTAAAGTTTCATTATGATCCAACGGTCGGATCTCTGCCAATTGTAAATTCAAATGGCGGTCAACATTTTATTTTACGAACTTACGAACCCAATTCAGAAAGATCTGCACGTCGAATTCCCGATCTGTTAGTTTCTATTGTCCTCAATTATTATGAATAATAACCTACTAAAGTTTAGTGACGATCCAACGGTTGGATCGTCGATTCAAATAAGGATCAAATGGCGAACCTTAGTGAAATTGTACCCAAACAATGGAATTTCATTAATCGGACTTCACCTAAGCAATTGGAGTATCAAACTTAGCTTATGAAAGTCAAGTGGGGTCTCAGCCCACCCGCTATCGCATATGATTGTCGGCCGCCCCAACTCGCCTAAAAATCAACTATTTCTAAAAATTCTCAAATTTCACGATAATGAAGATCTCAATAAGTAGAGCAAGTTTCATACCTGTGGCCAAGTCCAATTTAACCGGAAAGGCCTCAAATCTCCATGAACCCGTCGGAAACCCTATAAAGGGTGTTTCTTGATTCGTCCTCAAATCGAATTCCACGCTCCAACCAATTGTTGGGCATTGTTCCTGAGCTCAAGGGAAGTAGTTTGGTGGTGAAAATTGAACAGAATCATTGCAAGAATGGCAGATTCACGGCTATAGGTGCCCTCGAAGTCGACATGAGCATTCGCTGTGAAATCACGACCAATAACCATCAAACTTAGGTGGGAATGGAAGCTGGGATGATGCCATGTTGATTGGTGGTGTTGGTTGACTACATTTTATTGGAAAATCGAAAAAAACCACTAGAATTAGACCCGGGTCAAAATTGGATCACACAAGTTGGCTGGGTGTAACGAGGTCAAAGGTGATCTGGTGCATCCCCTTGCTCTTCTTTCCCCTTATTTCTCTCCTCTCTAATTGGTCACTCACCATTCGTCCTCACCTCTCCCTCATTTCTCTCCTTTATTTTCCATCTATACCGACCATCTATCTTTAAATTAATCTGGGCCACACACGTGGCTTTCCAAATTTTGCCCCTAAAATCTGGAGCTTTCTAGAAAATAACTAATTTACTAAAATGCCCCCGACTTTGAACGTTAATATCTCCTTCGTTATAACTCAAAATTACGTTCTGTTTGCACCCATTTGTTTGTAGCAACGAGTACTACGAGGATACATCAAGAAAATGGATCTTACGTGACTCAACAAGGCGGTCAACAAAAGTCAATGCATTTGCCTTGAAGGGCATTTTCGAAA